TTTTGTTACTATTTAGAAAATCCAACACCTATTTCTTCATGTTCCGTCTTGCACCGCAGTAACACCATNCAATTTAGAATAATTCATAACTTGTTTTAGATATGATTTGATCATAACGTTACTAACATTTATATCAATTTTCTTTTTAATTCCTATAAAAAATTTCTTTTTAATAAATTAATATAATCCGACATCGGAATGAATTGATCTTGAACGTAGCAAATTCATATTCGTAATTGATATGTTTGCTTTCCGAATTAGTTTATAAAATATAGTTGATACCTTAACCTGTCCAAAATTACCATGGTTAGAAAGATGTGTCCAAAATTAGGTGAATTAATACCTTAACCAACAAATTCCACTTCTTTTAGTCGAATTCATTAGTGTTCTACATGAAAATTATAATGCATGTTTCAAAGTTAAATGAAGAATTGAATGTTAATAAAAAAAAGCGAATGGACACAATGTAGTGACAACTTTTCGGCACATAGGTTGCAGTTATTTTTTTCTTCAAAATAAAAATGACACGTATCAATCAAACAACATATTAAACCCATCTTTTATAATATACTAGGTAATATACTAGGTGAATACCCACGTATACATGCAGATTTTTTCTTATACTTTTTAAAAAATTAGTGACTTCATTTGGTATTTTGGAAAATTGTTTTCATCTTTTATGTTTTGTTATACAAATTGAAGAAATTAGAGGAAATTTTTTTTGGTGTAAATGAAATATAGATGATGCAACTTGTCAATTTGTCATCTCGTCAAAAAATCACTACGGCCATCAAGCTTTGCCCATCGTAAATAAGGATCCTATTTTCGCTTTTGTGTTCCTCACCTTTTCTTCCATGAATCGACATTCCTTGTGAAACCAAGACTTATAAAACACCTTATGGAATTTACTCAAGCATATCCATAAATCCGGGTATGGAAACTACAATTCGGATACAGATAGACCAAAATTATTCTTATCCTCCTTATCATTTTATATCCAGCGAGAAACAACACCGATTCAACTCTACAATAAACACCATATTCAACAGGAATAACAACACCAATCATATGTCAAACACCAAGATCCATTGAATATTTGACATTATGATTCATAGATATAAATTCGTATTTTAAAATAAAATAACCACTAAATAGAAACAAAGAAACTGAAGAAACGAAAATCTATTAATCGCATCTTAACGGCGGAGTAGTTGGAAGGACGAGACCTTCTAAAAGCACAAAAATTGTTTACACTATGGAAAAGCGATTATTGAAACCCTTATGAAGGAGGAGCGAAATGGAGAATAGGAAGATGAAGAACATGGCATATATGACACATGTTTAGGAATTTGAACGTGAGAATTAATTTATGATTGGAAATTGGATAAGAGAATTTAATGGATTGAATACGGAAACCAAAAGTTCATAAGAAAGAAAGAGAGAAGTAAATGTCTCGATTACTATATGATTTTCCTAAATATGATATTCTTTAAATTATATTATTTCAAATAAAATATAGAATGATGAGGTGTCACACTCTTGTGAGTGAAACTCAAC